GCTCTTGCTCCTGTTCTTGCCGAACTGATCTTCGCACTGAGCGGACCCTATTACTAGGGTCCTGCCCTATTCGGTCGAAGACGCTGACCGACCTTTGTGCTTAATATTTTTATGAGGGAAATTGTCCCCCAATTGTGGTTCTGCTGGCTGCCTTGCAAATAGGATGTGGCTTCTGCACCCACTTCTCTTTCGAGGGGGCACTCTCTGTGCTGGCTCACATGGCCTCGAGAACGAGATGCTGAGGTTTCCTGAACTGGGTAAGATTCTTGGGGCATTTGAGAGCTCTGGTGACCTCGGGCTTGCATGAGAAGTTCATGCATTGCCATGTTCTAGGTTGCGATGTTTCTCATGCCCGCAGCTATTTGAATCATTCCTTCTATGAGCATGACTGTTCTTTCACCTCAACGACGCCGGTGATGGGGTCTCTGGTGAGTGACATTGTTATGGAGCACCTCTTCTTTAGAGACCTCTCTCATAGGGTTCTCGTCTTCATGGTTGTAACTCATCTTATCTCCTTTTTCAAGGGTGATAAGAATTTGGATTATAACTCGACTTTGCTCTTTTCTAAGAATGTGCCCTTTTCAGGCTAAGTCACTAGTTTTCTGGTGGAGAATGGAAAACTTTGGACGGGACGTAATCCCACAGACGGCGCTAATCTGTTGACCTCACAAATTAGACCCCCAACGTGGCCAACCGATAGCTACTCCATGTATTCCTCCCTGCGCACAGTCAACGCATGGTCAGATGCATACGGCTGGAACCAGCGGGGGTAGTAGCAGCCGCATACACTCCGACAGTCAAGTTAGCCTCAGGTGATCGGAACAATACCAAGGTTGTGCAAAATAGTAGGGAGGAGAATATATATTTGCTTGTTATGGAAAGCTATGTTGTAAGAATTTCATTACCTTTGCCTCTTGTCAAACTTTGGATATTTATAGGTGAGGAGAATCGTTGGATGTGGGACACGTGTATGCATCTGACGGTGCGAGGCGTCTGCTCATAGGCGTCAATCAGCCGCGTTTATAGAGTGGGCGGGTAATTACTTCTCCCGAGTGGAGTTGACATAAAGTTGATACGTCATATCAACTAGGCTCATGAAAACGTCAAATCAATTAAACCTTGGGGGCAAAAAGAATCTTGATATAGATCTTCTTCTGAAATTGGCGACAGATCCTTTGACCAAGAACCTCGGAATGTACTGCGCCTTGGCTTCAGGGACGAGGGCACTTCGGTCGGTTCAGTAGATTGTAAGAATGGTGAAGTTGAAAAGGCAAAGGAATTGTTCTTAAAATGGAAGAGCTGGGTTTGGTTGCTAATCTGTACACTTAACGCTGTTTTGATAAACTTTAAGAAAGGACTTAAAAGAGATGGATTCGAGCTCTATGAGAAGATGAAGCTTGATGGGGCTTTGCCCGACGTGTGTGCTTGCAATTCTGTTTCTGTGATGTATGAGTATTGCAAGGATGGTAAGATGAGCAAAGCCTATGAACTGTTTGATGAAATGCGGGAGGGAGGAGTGGCATGTAATGTTGTGACATACGACACTTTGTTTGTGGATTATGCGGAGAAAAGAGCATGGGGGAAGCAGAAAAAATGCTAGTTCGAATAAGGAGGAGGAATTACAAAGAAAAATGGAAGAGGAACAGGTAACCGGTCAGGAAAAAAAAAAAAAAACTCGTACAGATGAGCCCTGAACCGTGTCTCATTTCCTGTCATCGAACTGTGTCTCATTAATAATTTTTGTCTGGTCAGCATTTTTTTATGCAAAGTTCGTTAGGTTAATTATTGACTATAGTACTTGATGCTAATTTTTGTCTTATGGAGTTAGATTGAGACAAATGAAAACATGTTGGAGGAACTTAATCCAGAGACATGGACATTTTTCTTCTCGGTATACTTAAGTTACCCTCTGCTCCAGAAGTCATAGTTATTAAAACCTCTCCCATAGGTTCTTAAGCAGTGTTTGGTCCCCATTATTTTAGAAATAATTTTTTCTCTTTTATATTTGACCATGCATTCTTTAATCCATTTTTAATTGTCTTTCTTTTTAAATTTGGGTTCCTGTGATTTAGATGTTCATTTGTCCTAGTTGGCCAATTTTTTGTTGCTTATCATTCCAAGATTTTAATAATATAGTAATATGTAATGTAAACTGGAGATAGATTGATTTGTAAGAATAATGCTCAGTTTTAATTTTCTAGTGCAAGCAGTTTGTATCATTTCTAGTTTATAATCATATCACTGTGTTGGAGACAGTTATTTTATTGTTTAGAGTTTACTGTACCTACTATTAATCTCTGATTAGAGGGATAGTTGAAGATTTAAAAGTATCTTAACAATTTATGTCCGTGGGTTTATGTTCTTGATTCTATTAATTGGGGGATTACTGTGATGCGAATGAGTTAGGGAAGCATGAAATTGAAAAAAAAAATTGATATTAAGAATTCTAATATAACCAATTGACATTATGCTTGGAAGGTCATGCAATGAATTTCTATTATGAAGTAGCTACAGTTAACTTTTTATTCTGTAATGCTTTTATGTTATTCTTTCTAAACAAATTTTTATTGAATTTTTATTTACCGTGGTAGTTTATAACATGGCTACAACAACGAATCAACGTCGATGCCGATGACAACATTTAGGTTTATTTTGGAAATGATTCTGCTACAGGAGATCGTGCTGTAACCGGCAATGACATTTTTCCCCCGATCATGGTATGTACTAGATCATACATAAAAATTTATATAATTCGTATTATATTAGAGATTCTAACAAATTCTTATTTTATTATTTTTTTAGATGAAAATGTGCATGAAGTTGATGGTCAAAATGAGGATACAGGTCCAAGCCCCATTCGCGCTCCTAACCATTACGCCGAAGGAGGAACTAACAAAGTTCGCCATCGACGTACCCAACCTAATGATGAGAGTCTCGTTGCCCTATCAAGCATTGCCGAATCATCTAAAAAAATTGCTAATACTATGAAGACTCAAGCAACATTAGATACGCTAAACCACATCAATTGGTAGTTGATTCTAGAAAAATTACAAGGCATGAGTATAGAAAAACGTGACATAATGCAAGTAATGAAAATATTTCAATCGGATGAGAGTCTGGCTAGAGTATTTATGAGTTTGACTGATGAAGAATTCATGCGTAATTTAGTATTTGAGAATCTGGGCCGTGATCCACCTCCACTATTTTAAGATGACTTGCTTGGATAATTCAACAAACATATGTGAAAGTATGACATCTATATTGATTTTATTTGCTATTTTCTTATGATAGAGATTTTTCGGGTTTTTTCATTTTCGTTTTATGTAATACATTGGACGAAATTTCATCATTATTTATTGAATTGATTATCTAATTATTATTTTTGATTGGAAAGAAGATTATTTAAGTGGTAGAAATCTGAATTGGTAGGGATAATTATTTCATCTCGACAGTGTTTATGCATCTTTCGTACTGAATCTTGACATGTTTTTATCCACAAATTAATTGCTATATTAATTACAATTTGTATAAGTTGGTTGAAGGTTCTGATTGAATCGTTGGATTATTTTATATTATTTTTAATTGAATTTGCATAGCATAAGTGAACGAGATTGCCACAGTTCCCAAGAACGCCAATAATCGTCGATTTTGGATTTAACACGCAAACAATGAACTAGGCAACCAAAGATATATTAAATCTACGACCTCCTAATTACAAGGCTTACGAAGCTCAACCGAGTTTGTTTAACGCCATGAGAAAATCATCCCGATAAGTTCGAATTGTCCATTATATTTCTTGTATTTATTACCATAATGGAGTGGGCTCTTTTCTATTTCTCTATTTTATGTTTTGTGGATATGACACATGGACATTGAAACTTTGGTTGAAGGATGTACTGGAATTACCCTTCTGGACTCCTAATATGAATCATTGATTAGGATTTGGGCGAATTTATGTCTATAATTTGTTTAAGATTTGAATCATTCATTGACAAATTTTCATGGAAAAAAAACCTCTATTTTCCATGGAAAAGTGACAATTTCCATGAAAAATAGTGGTTGTCAAACAGATAAAATTGGAGAAAATGACTATTTTCATGGAAAATAATGGCTATCAAACACCTAAAGTTGGAAATTTGTAACATTTTCTAAGTTGAAATTTAAGTCAATCAAACACGTGTAATTAACATTTTCCATGTAAATAATTTCCAAGCAATTTGCCTGAAAAATATTTTTTTTCCATGCAATTTTCCTACTTGCAATCAAACGGACCCTAAAAGATAGATGATTTTCTTGATTTTCTTTTTTTTTTTTTTTTTGGTGGCAATGAAACAAATTCCATTCCCAATACCATTAAATTCTACCACTTTAATTGACAATTTTCATGTAAAATAAAATCAAACAAACACCAAAAAATACTTATTTTAACATTTTCCCCGTGAAAAATTATACCAATCAAACACAATAATTGACAATTCCCAATAAAACAATTCCTAAGCAATTTAATTTCCTGAAATTTGTTTTCTTTTCACCCAAATTTCATCTTTGCAATCAAACGGACCCTAAATATAGTTGAAATTCTTGTCATTTGATTGAGAAATTACTTTTATTCTATTCATAACTGAAAAGCTTAATTCAAATCGAAAATAAAAAGGATAAAATCCAATTTTCTCAATAGTAATCTCGGAGTGCTATGAAGGCACCCCTGGCTTGAAATTTAATTTATATTTATTTGCAATTTTTGCTCAAAATGCATAATGGCCGGATATTATCTCAAAAACCCAACTTCACTCGTGAACAATTCCCACGATCAAATTATAGAGTTTAGTTAAAATCCAATGCAATAGATAGTTAATTTAGGGTACGATTATTAAGTATTGTATAAGGAGATTCAATTCTTATGCAGTATACGAATTTCGAGGCATGCAAACATAAAAATCTCACCACTTTCCCAATGCAAACCAATCAGTCGAGCTTGAAGCTAACCATAAACACCTAGATAAAGCTCATAGCAAGAATCTCAAATAGAGAGACAGCAATGTAGTATACACATGTATTAGTTCATTAGGGTGTGGCATACACTTCGAAGAAACATGACAAGGATTTGGACAAATATTTCTAGTAAAAGAACCAAAAGCCAGTCATGGCCTTGTTTATATATCAAACCTTATTAAGAGTAATAAAATTGAAAAACCAACATAATGACAACAAATCTTTGATTCAGAAATAACCAAACCTCAAGTTTTGAAGTCATTTTCATCATGCAGATAAGAAACAGACTCAAACTGGCTCCACGAATGTTGTACTTATCGTGGAACTGTTTTCCAGTTATTTGACCACTAAGTCTCTGCTTGGTGCTCCTTAATCTCCCAAGGCTGTATATGCAACGACAGAAAAAGATAGAAGTTAGTGCTTTACATTTAAATCGTGCATTTTTGAAGTAACATAACAAGAAGTTATAGAACCAGTATAATTAGCATTCAACCAACAACTAAAATAAGATTAGAGGCCAACGTCCTAGCAACACTGCCAATTTTCTATCATAATGGTATGATATTTTCCCAAAACCTGTATATAACCAACTGGTCCACATGGTATCCACTATACTAATAACAAAATTAAATAACACAAAGTAAGTTCGACTCAGCAATTCCAAATACCTGATGCACACTCATTTGATATCTCTACTTTCGTCTTGACGAGCTTGCATCACCTTTCACAGATCCTATTGAATTTCTGGACGAGTCATTAATTCCTTGGGGTACAACTCCCTCAGTCCTACTTGCAGCATTGTATATTTTATGAATGTTGTATTTCTTGTAAAACTTTTCTCGGTTTTCTGACCACCAAGTCTCTGCTTGCTTCTCAGAAAATCTCCTCCTGCTACATATGTAATCACAGGAAAAATTCAAAAATTAATAATACAGCATCAATCCCAGGTACTTTGACAACAATGAAATTGCAACTGACGTAAGAAGTGTGCATGGAACTAGTTTATGCTATAATTCAATCAACAAATCAGAAGGTGATTCAAGAGCAATTAGCAAGAGAACCTCTCAAAGAAATTTTCCATAATGATTATCTAATATATCACTTAAATATCTAATGCGAGTATACAACCGATGATTCAATATTATTTCAAAATGAATCTTTTACTAGCAATATTAAGCAATATCCAATTTCATAGTGAGAAATAACAATGCAAAATACCTGACGCGCACTCTTTTGAAATCTCTACTTCCATCTTGAAAGTCTACAAGTGTTATATACACTCCGGGTTCATATTGTTTAATACACTCAACTTCAGTTTGATTTGCATCGCCTTTATTGGATCCTACTGAAAAAAAATGAATTTTGAGTCATTAATGCCTTAGGGCACAACTCCCTCAGTCTTACTTGCAGCCTTGTTGGAGGCTGAAAAGCGAATGTTGTATTTTTTGTAAACAGTTTCTCTGTTTTCTGACCACCAAGTCTCTGCTAGGTACTCAGTGAATCTCTTCGTACTGCATATACAATGACAGGAAAAATACAAAAATTAATGATACAACTTCAATCCCAGGTACTTTGACAGGAATGAAATTGCAACTGACATAAGAAGTGTGCATAGAACTAGTTTAAGATATCATTCAATCAACAAATCAAAAGGTGATTAAAGAGCAATTACCAAAAGAACTCTCAAAGAAATTTTCCATAATAATTATCTGATATATCACTTAAAAGTCTTATACAAGTATACAACCGATGATTCAATATTATTTCAAAATGAATCTTTTACTAGCAGTATTAAGCAATATACAATGTCACAGTGAGAAATAACAATGCAAAATACCTGAAGAGCACCTTTTTGATATCTCTACTTCCATCTTGAAAGTCTACAAGTGTTATATACACCTGAGGTTCATATTGCTCAATCCAATCAACCTCAGTTTGATTTGCATAACCTTCATTGGATCCTACTGAAGTTCTGTATTTTGAGCCATTAATACCTTTGGGCACAAGTCTCTCAGTCTTACTTGCAGCCTTGTTGGAGGCTGAAAAGCGAATGTTGTATTTATCGTAAACATTTTCTTGGTTTTCTGACCACCAAGTCTTTGGTTGGTACCCAGAGAATCTCCTCCTACTGCATATGCAATGACAGGAAAAATACAAAACATAATAATACAACTTCAATCCCAGGTGCTTTGACATTAATGAATTTGCAACTGACATAAAAAGTGTGCACAGAACTAGTTTAAGTCATCATTCAATCAACAAATCAAAAGGTGAGTCAAGGGCAATTACCAAAAGAACTCTCAAAGAAATTTTCCATAATAACTATCTGAAATATCATTTAAAAGTCTTATACAAGTATACAACCGATGATTCAATATTATTTCAAAATGAATCTTTTACTCACAGCATTAAGCATCCAACGTCATAGTGAGAAATAACAACGCAAAATACCTGAAGCGCACTATTTTGATATCTCTACTTCCATCTTGAAAGTCTATTAATGCTATATACACCCCAGGTTCATATTGTTCAATCCAGTCAACCTCAGTTTGATTTGCATCACCTTCATTGGATCCTACTGAAGTTCTATATTTTGAGCCATTAATGCCTTGGGGCACAACTTCCTCAATCTTACTTGCAGCCTTGTTGGAGGCTGAAAAGCGAATGTTGTATTTATTGTAAACATTTTCTCGGTTTTCTGACCACCAAGTCTCTGCTTGGTACTCAGTGAATCTCTTCGTACTGCATATGCAATGACAGGAAAAATACAAAAATTAATAATACAACTTCAATCCCAGGTACTTTGACATGAATGAAATTGCAACTGAAATAAGAAGTGTGCGTAGAACTAGTTTAAGTTATCATTCAATCAACAAATTAAAAGGTGATTCAAGAGCAATTACCAAAAGAACTCTCAAAGAAATATTCCATAATAATTATCTGATATATCACTTAAAAGTTTTATACAAGTATACAACCGATGATTCAATATTATTTCAAAATGAATCTTTTACTAGGAGTATGAAGCAATATCCAATGTCACAGTGAGAAATAACAATGCAAAATACCTGAAGAGCACCTTTTTGATATCTCTACTTCCATCTTGAAAGTCTACAAGTGTTATATACACCTGAGGTTCATATAGTTCTATCCAGTCAACCTCTGTTTGATTTGCATCACCTTCATTGGATCCTACTGAAGTTCTATATTTTGAGCCATTAATGCCTTGGGGCACAACTCCCTCAGTCTTACTTGCAGCCTTGTTGGAGGCTGAAAAGCTAATGTTGTATTTATTGTAAACATTTTCTCCATTTTCTGACCACCAAGTCTTAGTTTGGTACTCAGAGAATCTCCTCCTACTGCATATGCAATGACAGGAAAAATACAAAAAATAATAATACAACTTCAATCCCAGGTCCTTTGACATTAATGAAATTGCAACTGACATAAGAAGTGTGCATAGAACTAGTTTAAGTTATCATTCAATCAAAAAATCAAAAGGTGAGTCAAGGGCAATTACCAAAAGAACTCTCAAAGAATTTTTCCATAATAACTATCTGAAATATCACTTAGAAGTCTTATACAACCTATGATTCAATATTATTTCAAAATGAATCTTTTACTAGCAGGCTGCAGTATTAAGCAATATCCAACGTCATAGTGAGAAAACTCAATGCAAAATACCTGAAGCGCACTATTTTGATATCTTTACTTCCATCTTGAAAGTCTACTAATGCTATATATACCCCAGGTTCATATTGTTCAATCCAATCTAACCTTTTTTTGCTTGAATCACTGGTAATCAAAGAATTTCTCGATTTCGAGCCATTTTCATCAAGTCCTTTACTGCGCAGGTTATTTTCGATCCTTTTGACAGAATCATTAATCAAGTGAGAGGGGCCGAAATCAGATCGTGAACTCCTTCCTTCATTTTCAACAGTTTTTTCTTCACTTGGGGAATTCAAAGATAGTTCGTCAAAATCCAACGATACGGAACTCGCGGAGCTTGTGCTTCTTGAATGGGCATGAGCCATTTCCAAATACTGCTGACGTCGCAGCACAGCTTGCAACAACCTCCCCCAGTTGTCATACACAGCAGGCATCTCTGTTTCGGCTTCAACAACTTCAAATACACAATGTTTATCTTATGGATATTGATCGCCTGAGCAAACTCTGAACCTATATATAAGCGAACAATTTCTGAGAAACTATCCCCACAATTGCTTGACTCAAAGTAAAATTTCTACGCGGTAGGGACTAAAGGAAAGAAAGAAAATGTGAAGGAACACGCACACAAATTGCATTAATGTTCCCGGTTTCTCCAGAAGTTCGTAAATAAGTAAAAGTAACCACAAGAAAAGTGAAAATTTCGAGTGACTTTGGGTGATGAGACTGGAGGAGGAGCTCATCTTGCACTTGTTCGCACTTTCAATTCAAGATTCGGATATTTGATGAAGAAAAGAGAAAATATGACACAGGAGTCAAAAGTCATTTTATATAAAAATAACATAAAGCATTTGTTGGCCTCAATCACGGCTTTTTGTCATAAAATGTTCGAAAAGTCATTTTTCTTCAAAATTATTTGAAATGCATATTTTTTTCAATAGAATAAATTTACTTTAAATCTAATTTTTCTTCACATTTTGATTATACATTCTGCAAAAAAAGTCAATTTTGAAAAAGAATCTGTCAATTAAACTGTACAAGTAGCTTGATTGATGTAAGCAGACGGAATTTCATTTGTATCAAATCAAATGTGTAATCTTGCTTTAAGAAGACAATCAACTTCCTGCATTAATACCTTTACCATTGTCACTACAGAAAGCATCTTTGTTCTCCGCTCTGGCTTCCTAGCCACACAGCACAACCGGTACACTTCTTCTGGTAGGTTGGGGACTGAAATGCTTGTCAAGTGAGATACTGCGAACCTTCGTTGCCAAATTGCCACAACATATAGCTTAAGGCCCTGTTTGAGTCCCATTAATTTCTTGCGATGTATTATGAAATAGTAAATTAATAGAAAATATATGGTTAAAGGAAAAGGAAAAAAAATTTATTTACGTGTAATATTATTTTAATAAAAAATGTATTATTGAAAATGAGTACTGTAAAAAAAATAATGAAAAAAATGAGCTTCAAACAAGGGCTAAAAGAACAAATTTTGTGAAAGTACACCTCAATTTCCCACAAAGTAAAAAGTTGTCAATGATAATATATTCAATAAAAGAACAAGTTGTATAAATTTCCCACAAAGTAAAAAGTGGTAAATAATAATATAGTCAAATTCTTATTATCAAGAAAAAAAAAAGGAAAAAGTGAATTAAATGCTCACCACACAAATTGAATACCCTTGACGATCCACAAGATAAAAATGAAAATTGTTCTACGAGGTAGGGACTATTTCTGAGAAACTATCTCCACAATTGCCGAGTCAAAGTAAAACTTCTACACGGTAGGGACTAAAGGAAAGAAAGAAAAATGGGGAGGAACCCGCATACAAATTGCATTAACGTTCTCGGTTTCTCCAAAGTTCGTAAATAAGTAAAAGTAAGTGGGGGTTCCTGTAACCCCCAACTTTTTATTTTAATTTTTTTTCATAGATAAGTCCTGTTTGGCATCTATTAAAATTTTAATTTTAATCTAAATTAAAATCTACAATTAATTTTAATAACATATTTCATGGATTCCCTTAATTTTTCAACTTTTATCAAAATATACTAAAAATCAGATTTTATCTTCCATCAAACAAGGGCAAAATTACAATAAATTTGAATTTTTTTCCCTTTTTCTTACTCTATCTTCCCTCACAACTTTTATCAAAACTTTAACCATTGTATTTTTTTTATTTTATTTTTTTAATTTGTCCATAATTTTTCTACAAATTACCACATCTATTATGGGCTATTTGATAAACCCCTTATCCATTGAAAATGGAAATTGATTTCCATCCTAAACCAAAAATGCATGTTTAATAGTTTGTTTATAGGCAATTCATTTTGCTACTTTCATGCCACCTCAGTCATTTTCCACCAAATTGATGAAAATGAATTCTCACCACTATGGTGAGAAATTATTTTCTAGGCTACGGGCCGAATTTTTTTTTTTCTTACATAGAATGTGTCTGAACTGATTATAGCACATTTATCTTATATTTAACGAATTGTATTTATTTGATTGAATATTGATTATATGTTTTTCCTTTCGATCACTTGAATTGTTTGTTTGTATTGAATACACTGTAATTTTTTTAAACATAAATGCACATTTTATTTTTGATGAACAAAATATTAATAAAATGACAGTTCGAAATCAAATGAATGAAAATGATGAGCAGAATATTAATGAAGAAATATTTTTTAAATGTAAATCTGTATTTTTTCAAATCGGGTATAAATCATTCAAAAATTAAGAACAAAATATTAGATTTGTACAAAGTTTGATTGTGCCTCTAACTAAAAATTTCTGCGTTTATTCTTGAGAGTAACCACTAGAACAATGAAAACTTCAAGTGACCTAGGGTGATGAGACTGGAGGAGGAACTAATCGTGCTGCTGTTCGTACTTTCAATTCGAGATTGGATTTGATTGATTCAGATATTTGATGAAGGAAAGACAAAATAATGACCCACGAGTCATTTTATATCATTGAATGTCATATTAACACCACTTAAATTGAGGTTACATTCCCAGTCGGCTAAAGTTGAATATAATTCCCAAGTTGGGTCACTATAATAGGAGTAATTAATACAGTGCTGTAGACACTCAAACCCCTAACCCCGATCACGTACGCAGTGCATAGTACATAGTTTGTGGAGTAATACGAGGAGCATAAATGCCAACTATCTTTCAGTGAGTATTATTTGAGTGGCACCGGGAATGTTCTCTAGTGTCAAATTGAATTGCATGCGTTCACACTTCACAATACAGAAAAGACAGACTCGATCGCTGAAATCCTTCTACTCGTTTTTAACATGGTTTGACCTTATCCACTTCTACATTCAATTCGACTTTCAGCTTTTTCTTGCTTATCGCTTCGGTTTCATCAATCATTCACTCATTCCCGGGTTGAAAGTGGTTCATGAAGTACTCTAAATAAATCAGTGTTTTAAAATCTGGCCCAGGCATTGACCCGGTAAAAAGAAAGGGTCGAGAGTCAAAAAGTTCAACCGGAGTCATTGAAAGTTCGGTTCATGAAGTACTCTATATAAATCAATGTTTTAAAACCCGGCCCAGGCATCGACCCGGTAAACAGAAAGGGTTGAAGGTCGAACTGGAGTCAAACTGGAGGTGATAAATAAATATTTATAAACATTTAAATTTTATTTTGACAACAATATATAATTAAATTTTTACAGCATCAATTCAAATTAAATACTAATATATCAAATGTATGTTTTTAATATAAATTTTAATAGTTTTTATTTTTTAGATCACTTAAAAACTCATTTCAATTTTACAAAATAATTTGTATGATT